CCACAAGCAAATGGGCTAGTGGAACGTTTCCACCGCACCTTCAAAACGGCACTGAGGTGTATGCCTAAGATGGAACAGACGAAGGCTTTACCGTTAGTAATAATAATGTTAAGGTCAGCATATAAAAAGGACCTGCAAGCGACACCATCAGAGCTGGTTTATGGCACAAACACACGCCTACCGGGAGAAATATTTAATGGCGAAAAAAAACAAGTACCGCAAACGGAGTTCGTGAAGGTATTAAAGGCAACGATGATGGAGCTGAAACCGTTACCCACCTCACGTAACATTGCGGAGAAACCGTTCGTGTATAAGCACTTTAAAAGCAGCACACACATGCTGTACGTCCACTACTGAAGCAGCCATACGAGGGTCCGTATGAAATAATAACTCGTGGCGAAATTTATTAATTAGTTTTTAGAAAATAAAATTCTTTCCATTATAGTTACTTGAAACACATGGGTTAATAGTACATTTTGACGGCAAACTCTTGCAAGCTCTAACTGGCCATGAGGAAGTACAAACGTTGCCTGTTATTGTTTCAAGAAATTATATTGAAAAACTGCTGAGTGTACCTGTATGTGACAATGGAAGTGGAAAAGCAATTGCTGATAAAGTATATAAAAATTTAAGCAGTTGGTACTATTGAAGAAAGTCGAAGGTATGTGCTTTGATACTTGGACGAGAGCTTTTGTACTTTGCATCATATTTGTAAAATTATTTTACGAAGAGTATTCGAAGTGAAATTTAGCAAATCTAAGGGTCCACAAGTCAAAACTTTTGATGACTTTTAAAAGGCATAGAATTTAGGTTAATTTAAAACAAAACTTTAAGAGCGGTCTTCAAAACTTATACGTCAAAAGAAATATCAAAACAGAAATTACCAAAGATGTCATACATTTTTGTCGTGAGCAACTAAATAAATATCACTCTCGCGATGATTATACAAAGTTCTTGGAGCTAGTATTGATATTTTAGGCGAAAAAGCATGAAATTTTAAATTCAGTCTCCCAGGACCAACTTCAAATTCTCGATGGATGGCGAAAGTCATATATTTGCTAAAAATGTTTATTTTTAGAGATCAATTTACATTTGACTCGGGTGAGTAAGAGTATATGCATTTTTTTTTTGGTGATTATATATTTAAAAATTTGGTTTAATTACACGAGTGGAGTTACAGAAGCTAATCAAGATCTTTCATTCATTAAAAACGCTATTGAATATTCCATCATTGACAAATAAGTTTTGATGAAAATAACCAATAATTTATAGTACTTAGCAGAAGAACTCATGAACATGGCTTTCTTTGATATCACTGTTTGAGTTGAGGAGAAAGCAAAAATGATTGGAAATCTTTTAAATACGTTCCAAAATATGAAAAGCTTGATCCTTTAAATATTAGAAAATTTGAACCAACGCTGAGTGAATTGAACTTTCTTTCTTCAAAGCACCTGAGTGATTTTGTGACCGAAAAGACAATATATTTTTCGATCGTTTTTGCCGGTTTTATCAGTTTCGATCCTTCAACTTGGATGGAGAAACAAGATTATAAAGATGGACTTGAAGTCTGTTCCAGACTTCATGTAGTAAATGATTGTATAGAAACAGGAGTTAGGCTTTTGATGGATTATAATTCGATTTTCTGGAACTAGACAAACATTATCATAAAAATTATTCATCACATAAAACAAGTCAGATTTATGTTATAAAACATAATAAACAATTTGTCTCAAAGAGGTAGGCAAAACTAAAATTTCTTCACATTTTTGACTTGAACAGTTAATAGCAATAAGGTGATAATATTTTTTGTCATTATTTTTTTCTGTTATCATTCTGTCAATATTTTTGAACAAGAATATAATCAGAAAAAAATCATTCTTAACAATTTACAGTTATGAACAACAAAATAAAATAAATCATCAAAATACTAAAGTTGCACTAAAAAATCGCCTCTCATCCCACAATCTAACGCATATAAACCAAGTCATTGATAATTTATTGGAGCTTCGCCTGCTAACTGGATATGATTTGATCACCATGGATGTGTGTTATATATCGAAGATGGGGAAACCGTGGTTGCAGCAAGTAAGACCAATTAATGTCAGCTCGTTCTGTCAATTGTTGCATTACATACTTGTTGAAGTTAAAGCCTCTGACAATGTTAATAACACTACAATATATAAATATTTTTGTCAAACTTTAATTAGCTTTTGTTTACTCTGATATTTTAATTTAATAAATAACGACAGTTGGTATAATACACTCGAAAAGAAGACAACGCGTTTTTATTTAATACTACATCTGGGTAACTATTTTACATTCTACGGTAATGTATACCAGCAGATTAATGGGTTGCCACAAGATGGTAGTGCATCTAGCACTCTACCAACTATATTCTTGGACTCTGAAATCGAGTTGTATCACGGTCCTTTATTTTTGTCAAGTCGCGCCTGCACATAATGGAAGTATGTGGATGACGTACTCTTGTACATGCCGCGAGATGATATTGCCGACTTCATGGCTCTATTTTCCCAGCTAGTTGGGTACGATGTCGAAATTACGAGATGGAGGGTTTGAACACGATCATCAGCTGTCACCCTTATGTCACCTTCTTGGATTATTACATATGCTACACCCCCTGATCTTTTGAAACATCCGTATATTATAAACCAACTAAGTTCATGCGCATGATACATTACTCATCGCACGCTTCCATGACTATCAAGAAAACCGCCATCACATCACATCTCATCTGAGTCGTGTATTGTATCGTTCTGTAACGCATACTCCCACTTTGACCTTACATATTGTGTGATTCGATGTCTAGTGAATGGCTCCTGTAACAGAAAAAGCAACACTGAGCTGAATTCAGCCCTGCGAGGCAGCATGACAGTTGATATATGAATGACAGTACAAAGGAGAAACAGATCGAAAGCACACAAATGTGAAACACGTTGCGCGTCGATTTTAAACAAAATAATAACAAATTATTTGTAAACTAATATATATAGTAGATAAATTGTCAATAAAATAATAGGCCAGTGTTTTATATAATGGATTACATGTTTTCACATTTTGTATCCGTTAAAATAACATTTGTTTAAGTATGACGCCGGGAAAAAACGCGGGAAAAAGTTCATGTTCAGGAGCGAAAGCATCTGACCTTATGATTTGCCAAAATTCAACGGTAACGCTAAACAGTGGCCACTTTTTCGTCCTAGTTTTGAGGACACCACCAAAACGTATACTAACAGACATAATTTAATGCGCCTACAGAAATGCCTAATGGATAAAGCTAAAGATGTCATTCAGTCACTGTTAATATACCCATCTAATGTGCCTGTAGTTATGCAAGAAAATAACTTGTTAATACGGTCCCAGTTGGACAAAATTCAACAGTTCGAGAGAGTGACGGAGAGGAAAGTTGATAGTTTAATTGCCTTATCCTCTCTTGTGCGAAATGTTGTAGCCTTTTTGTCATCAGCCAAATGTGAGCAACACTTGAACAACCAACATTATTAGAACAGCTAGTGTATAAGTTGCCGCCTGGTAAACAATTTGAGTTGGCACGTTATGCTGTAATAACTCTGCAGTAACTCCAACATAAAAACAACTTAGTGTTTGGTTGAGTGAGATCGCGAAAATAATTTGCCTTTTGCCACAGCCATTGTCTCAACCAAAAACCGAAAAGGCTAAAATTACAATGCCAACTAATCAAAATAATATGCGCCGAGTTATGTATGCCGTGAGATGTAACAAAAGTATCACCTGGGAGATAAGTGTTTTGAGTGTGCAAGCCCACAGCTTGTAGTTATATGTGAAGCGTTTTTGAGTAAAAATGTTGGGTAAAGGTGAAGCAGCTTCGTTTGTGTTTTTCATGTTTGCCGAAACGACACAAAGTCATACAGTGGCGAATGAAAAGATCCTGCGCGGTATAAATGGTTGCCGTAAAAACCATAATAAATTGCTACATGAGTCACATCTCATGTGAGACGCCTACGCCGCCTACGTCTAAATCAGTTCAACAGGTTTTAAATTATGCCATGCCATGTTCCGGTTTTCTCTTTAAATTGGTTCCGATAAAAATTATAGGTCCAAAGGGAAACTGAAGCTTTTTGCACTTGTGGATGAAAGGTTGTCAATTACTATACTAGATGCTAAAATAGAATAGGCGTAGACCAGTTTGGAATTGTTATTTTTATTAACAAGTTGGGTAATTTAGTCCATCTTAGATAGAGTGCTGATAGTTTATGTATGTATACGCAATTTATATTGCATCAAGAATCTTGTTTAGGCTATACCATTTGGTTTAGCAGAAAATCCAAAATTCAGTTATGCTGTTAACATTGTGCCGCCGAAACAACACCAACTACTTAACATAACATATTATACACATACGAAATTTGTATATAACAAAAGAGATACATTTTTTAGGTATTATAGATAATATAATAAAATATATAATTATTTTATTTTATTTCTCATTTAAGGAGAAAGGATAAAATAAATAAATTACTTTAATTATTAAATAATTTAATTAAATTAAAAATTATAACTTTGGGATCAATATTAAAATATGCTAAATTACAACAATGTTCAAATATATATGATTAGAAACTCAGAAGGCCAGTATAAGACTATTAAGAAGTGAGGATATGTCACCCAAAAGTTTATAGTTTTTTAAATACACCTATCCCCCGATTTACACGGTACTTGTTTTACACATTTTCGCTTTTACACGGTTTTCCAAATAAGTTTTTTTTTTGTTTTTATCGTACTCTACTAAATGCTACTGTGTTTAAACACGTGCGCTGTGTACACATCTCACGGGGAATCCCGAGCTTATGTGCTGACTTGCTGCACATGCACACTGTGTCTGTATTTCTTCGCATAAAATTAAAGTTTTATCTACGGAAAATTGTATTTGAGTGAAAGTTTCAAAGTTTCAGAAAGATTTAATTTTCCATATTCGTAAATTACAAGCGAGTCCATACTTTAGATTATTATAAATTAACATAAATTAAAAAAAATTATAGGCTTATAATGTCGAAAGAAGTTAAAAGAAAAGTTATTTCTTTAGAAACTAAAATCGAAATTTTGGATCGCTTACGAAAGGGAGATAGAGTAGTAGATGTTGCAAAATCATATAGCATGAACGAAGCTACAATAAGAACTATTAGAACAAATGAAAACACAATTAGAAAGAATGTTGCAGCTGACAATACCACGAGTATGTGCACAACACCCTACACTAGAAATATCGCAATGGAAAAAATGGAGAAAGCGTTAATGCTTTGGATAGAAAATCAAACACAAAAAAGAGTACCCATTGATACGGCCGCTATAACAAATAAAGCATTACGAATTTACGAAAAAATTGTAGAGCAATTACCATCTTCTTCTTCAACTGAAAAGAAGCCAAATTTTTTGGCAAGTTATGGCTGGTTTGAAAGATTTAAAATAAGACATTCTTTACACAGCTTACAATTAAAAGGTGAACTGCCTTCTGGCGACGTAGATGCAGCCCAAGAATATCCAGCAAATTTTGCAGAAATTATTAACGACAATTCATACACCCCTGATCAGGTTTTCAATGCTGATGAATCAGGGTTATTCTGGAAAAAAATGCCTGAAAGGACTTATGTCTCAAAATTTTATAAATCGGCTAGTGGTCATAAAGCAGCAAAAGATCGCATAACAATTATTTTCTGTAGCAATGCTTCAGGAGATTATATTATGAAACCATTAGTGATTAACAAATCAAAAATGCTCCGTGCCTTTAAAGGAGTAAACATCAATAATCTTCCCGTTTATTGGAGGGCTAATAAGAAAGCGTGGGTTACTGCTGCAATGTTTACTGAATGGTTTCATGAATGTTTTATCCCAGTTCCCAAAAAATATTTAATTTCAAAGGGATTGCCTTTTAAAGTGCTTTTGTTAATTGACAATGCGCCGGGTCACCCACAAGATCTAGAATATGAGAACGTTGAAGTAAAATTTTTACCAAAAAATACAACTTCATTATTACAACCATTGGACCAAGGCATAATTTCTACTTTTAAAGCTTTGTACATAAAACGAGCCTTTACATATATTTTGGAACAAATGGAGAACAATGAATCTTTAACAGTTATTAGTGCTTGAAAAAATTTTACAATATTAGACTGCGTGAGCATTTCGCCTTATCATACACTGCGATTAAGCAAACAACGCTCAATAGCTGTTGGAAAAAATTGTGGCCAAATGTAGTCAAAAATGAACATTCCATTTCAACGTTAAATGATGAATATTCGCAGATAGTACAGATGGCGCATTCATTGGGCGGAGAAGGTTTTGATGATTTTACTGATGATGATATCGCAGAGTTAATGGCTGATAAAGAACTAAGTGAGGATTATTTAGTTAACTTAGTTTGCAAAAGTGAGTCTGACAAATCTGATGAAGAGGAATTAGTACCGGTAACATTCACTGCTAAAGTCATCCGCGAAGGACTCGCATTGGGAAGAAAGCTGGGTAATCATTCTATACAAAATGACACAAACGTTAAAAGGGCTTTACGATTCCAAAGTGACATAAATCGCTGCTTGGCTCAATATGAAGAAGTTTACAAAGATCTTACAAAAAATTCGAAGCAATTATTAATAACCGATTTTATTACCACCTCTCAGAATGTAAATATTTCTGCTTCAAACATCGAATCGGCATAAATAACTTCGAGTGAATTCCAACCTTCGATTCCGAAAAAAAGAACGAGAGTAATTTCTGATAGTGATGAAAGATAATAAAATACCTTTGGTTTTATTTTTTGTTCTTCTATTTAATGTATTGTAATTAAAAAAACAGTGTTTCCGTAATATATTACATATTTTAACCTGTCAATGCATTTTATTTTTATTTCTGTGTACACTTAAAAATATTGAAAAAAATCACAACTGTTAAATAGCAAAATTATACATTTTCTACCGTGTAAATCGGGGGATAGGTGTACTACAATTGTGCTATCACAACTGCCAAGCATTTCATTTATCACCAAAAAAATATTATAGATAAATAATACTTTGAAATTACTCTAAATTCAATAACAAATCAAAACTGATATTAAAAAAGATAATAGATCTGAAATCAGATAACATAGAAAGATTTGTTTAACTCAAAAATACTAATCAATCGATCATTTTGTAAATTCACAATTCACATTTTATAATTATTGACCTTTCGTCAATATTACGATTTTTTGAAGTTCTAATAAAAAATTTTACACTGAAAACCTTTTAAGTTATAAACGGAATAGAAAAATAAATATTATTTATAGGCGCATTTAAAGAAAAATTAGCTCAATATATGTGTATGTAGATGTTTACAAACCAAGTATATAATATTTAGTATCACAATAATAAGATATAAATATAAGTATAAATATAAGATAATTGGATAAATATTGGATAATAAAAAAAATGTATAATTCGACAACTATTATTCAATTATTCAGGACAAATTCATTAGTATATATATTGGTTTAAGGTACATTAAAATTTAATTTAAACCAAAATCATATTAGGCTTCAATATTTATCCAATGATCCTTTAACACTTTTCTTTGCAAATAATTATCAAAACCGCAGTAATCGTAAAAACTTTTAACACAGCTTTTATAATGTAGTATTATTTGCCAACAAAATCAATTTGTATTGTTTAAATAAGATTTTTGTCTTAATTAGATTAGCACATATTGTTAAGAAAATGTTAATAGTAAAAATATTTTAGCTTATCTGTTTTTACTCCTCTCCGGAGGAGTAGATGATTCTAGACATCTTACATCGGTATTTATGCTTGTAAATTACTGATATTACTGGAAATTACTGGTATTGAAATGATTTCAATTTTCTGTACTTAAATAGTGGTTTAAAATTTTGTACTGCTTTTAAAAGAAAGTTAGCATTGACAACCTAAAATCGAAAGAGAAATCATTGATTAATTTTGAAATAATTGCATATATCAAACGAAAATATTGATAATTTGTGACCTACTCAGTATCTGCTTTGCGACCGAACATCACCTAACAAACAAAAGATGATGAAATATTGTCAAGCTTTGAACTATAATGCATAGGAAGGAGTTGCACTAATATTTTTCGGAAACTCTTTTCCAACTATTAAAAATTTCCATTTAAAATGATTTTTTTGTTTATTTATTAGCTGGCTATAGGTCACTTTTATTTCAATAAAAATTAAAAAAAGTAATAAATCCTTAATTGCTGGTTATCAAATAATTCTATATTTCGACTCTCTTTGAGAGTCATCATCAGAAGCATGGTCTAATAAAAAATAAAAATTAATTAATAATATCACATTCTATTTATCACATTATATCCAGTTGTCTATTGTCCACTATAATGTGCTAATGAATCAACAATAAAATCAATATAGAATACAGGTCGATAAATATAGTTTAATTTCCTTTTAAATAAGGAATATACGTTCATGAAAACCATCTGTACATAGAAGAGCTAAATTACTAGGAGAGCGGAATTCTTAAAACCCTATGAAGCTGAAATATAATATCAGAGGATACAAATGCAACATGACTCAGCTTCATCCTTAAACATAACCTAAAATAAGGAGTTTTTAAAAGCTTATTTTTAAAAAAAATTCAAAATAAAAACAATATATAAGTATATATTCTGAAGTTAAAATATCAATAAGTCAGTAAAGAGTAACCTTCTAGAAGATCTAAGTTAGCTATAACAACTATTCTGAAAGTATTTAGATTTTAACAAAGGTCTGAAACGATCTTAAACCTGAGTAAGTTTTGGCGAACGCCGTAACGTCGTATTCTAAACAATTCAATAATTAATTTGTTGCCCTACTTACTAGATTACTTATTTTATCGTTTGCAAACTGTCTTTATAATCCAAATCCACCTTCACTATCATTTTCAAATTCATTATCTTATATTATAGTGAAAATAATATACTTACTATTTATATAATCAAAACTTCCTAACTTCTGCTCACATTCATTCCAAACTGTTATGGAATATATTTTTAATCCAGGATATCGATTCATCAAATGTAGTATTCATAATATTGAAAATATTTGCTCATCTCCAGTATTATTTTGTTATCCGTCTGTTGGAGATTCAATATGAAAGCTTTACGCATTTGAGACGTTATCTGATCAAGTAAACGTCTTACGTGTTGTCTTTTGCTGAAAGATTGAAACATCTCAAGATGAAATTTGGTCGAACTGACACTTCAGTACACGCATTTATAATTTCATTTATTTCGATGAATTCACGACGTACATTTTTTGTGTAACTCTGTTGGAACAAGTTCATTCATATTAGTAAATCTTCTCGGCAATAATTTTAATAAAATATACTATATATACTCTAAATTGTTAACATATAGTTAAATGATAATAATTACACTGCTTCACAAGAAAAAAATATTTTTTTTTAAACAAACAAATTAAACTTAATCAAATTTCAAAAATTGAATAATAATTTATTGACAAACGAATTTTAAACTGTATTCATAACACTACTTCATATTATATCTTAATAAGAAAGCTGTGTACAGGGTTGTTTAATAAGTTTGCGAAACATGATATATTCGTCATTATCAAACTGAAATTTGCATCCAAGAGGGTAGCCAGAATGACAGGAAAATGGACCAAGAAACTATTTTCCCACATGAAAACCAAAAAAGGTGTAGTTGCTGCATCATATTTTCTGAGGGACGTTATCTTTCAATTATGAAATGTTATATCAGACACACTTTGAAAGTTGCATTTAGACGATTCACGTTAAGGACATCCAAGCAGTGTTTCTACATCAGAGAAATTGTATTACAAAGATTTTGATGTGATTTACAAGAAGACATAGACATTTTATTAGAAATAGTGACCAATATGTGTGAAGAGCTGTGTGTGCAATAAAATGAAAATAAATTCTAAAGCGACGTTTTCAGAAAAGACTGAAGGTTCTTATAAAAGATAAATCGAATTTTATATGTCGTTTCATCTACAGAGACAAGATTTGTATTTACCACCATGTACTTAAATCAAGACAACAGCAAAGGTTAAGGAGTGACGTGAAACCGGCCCTTTGAGGACAAGAATCGACCAAGAATGTGTAACCTCTATTTTTATATTAGCGAAACGACCACTACTGGTATAAATAAAATCAGTCAGCCTGATTGCCACATTCTGCCCTCCCGACTTCTGACTCCTTTCATTCCTAAAAAAAATATACTACTGAAAACGGTTTTATATTAAACGGAGTTACAACTATCGTAGAGAAGTATCCATTAACCGGATTTACCGGACTTACAGAGAAAAGACCAGTAAATTGAACGATCTGTAAATTAAGTATATTGAAATTGAGAGAAATTATATTGAAAAAAATTCATTTGTACAACCATATATCTATTTTTATATTTTTGTTCACGGAACTTGATGAACAGCTTAGTATTTTACAATAGAAATAGTACAGTACAGTTTTTGGCAGATATGAATACTTAGGTTCTCGCACCATGACCTATTATTTACTTAAGCATTTAATGAATAATTTATAACGACGGCAATGGCAGTTACAATTATATATGATATATTATATTTTTAACGTACCTTTGACCAGACCAAATCGCAAAAATTTTTTAGTATTAGCTCCTCTGGAACTTAATGTAAGTATCTCGCATTCATCACCGGATTTGTTCATTTCATCTGACTAATTAAACAGCCTCCATTGGTGATTAATTAATTAACCACGATTTGTGTAGTGACGAAGAAATCAGTGATGAAAATAAATAGTTTTTGTTATTTATGGATGTAAATCAACATAGTGAAGATGTGCTATAGAAGGTAACACTTTTATCTTTATATATTACGTCTAAAGCCATTATTAACAACAATAAAAATTTTCGCTTAAGGTCTAAGAATGAAATTGGAATTAAATACTATATTTAAAATTATTTTATAAAAAAGTACTATTTACCCGTTCAATCTCTGGTCACAGAAATTAATTTGGATTGTGTACTACTGGAATCGATTGCGTGGTGATGAGAATCT